CACAAAAGTCCAAATCAGGATAGTACGATTCGGATCTGTTTTTGCACGTAAATTTGATGCGCGGAAGAATGACATTGAGTGGATCGGAAGTGGTAGTAGTGGTGGTGCTGGTGGTGAAAGGGATGGCACTGTCCATTGTTGTCATCGGACTACCTGTCATCAACAGGGTGGTTCTTTCCATTGAGTTGGTGGTAGTCGCAGCCGTCGCCTTTGTCGTCGGCTCGTCATGCTCCAGGTCATTGTGGTCGAGCACCACTTGTCCACCAACAGAGCTGATGTTCTTCACTTCCTAATGAGATGAGACGCGTGGCCAGTGTATGAGATTATTAGAAAGTGTAATACGTCCCTTCTCCTCTTCACCCCGTAAAAATGAATGCATTTTTTGCTATAAAAACTCAATGGAAAGTGAGTTCGGTCACTGGGGCCTGACCAGTGCAGCAGCAACAGTGGCAGATAATCGGCCTCTGATGAGAGAGAGTACGAGAAGTGTACAGCAGAAGCTAATCTTGGCTAGCGAGGTAGTAGCCAGAAAGTGACAATGCGACGCTAAATGGCGTAATCAAGGGAGAGAGAACTCGAGAGCGAGAGTTGCTCCAGTGCCTGTGACAATTGACATGGTGGGGCTAAATTTAGTGTCAGGCTCGGGCGCCTTTCTTCGGGCGCACACTTAATTACGAGCCAAGCCAAGAAAGTCGTCCGATTAGCAAGGGAGAGCAGAGAAGGCAACTGCGAGAGGCAGTGGAAGAGCGTATTGAAGACGATTGCCTCCACCAGGTCCCATTCGTAGTCACTTTTTTTCATTGGTCGTTTTCTCCTCAGACACACTCACTCACTCACTCACTCACATTGTGCCGGCAAAGACGGTGTTCATATGTGCGCGCTTATATGCATAAGTGGGTCAAATCATAAGTGCAAGCGCCAGGCGATCTGACTAATGACAGACGCGCCGCGGTGAAGTGAAGACCGCGAAAAGAAGAAAAAGAAAAAGAAAAGAAGGAATTGAACGGAGGATCGAGCACTGAAGAGGAGTCCTGTCTTTGCTGTTATGAAGGAGCCCGCAGACGATATAAATAACAAAGTTTTGCCTATTCTCCACTCAACAGTCGAACAATCGTCGGTGGACAGGTAAAGGCAGAGAGATAGAGATAGAGAGAGGGAAAGGGGAAAACTGCCAGACAAACTAGACAGGTACAGTGGCAAAAATGTCACAGAAATGGCGGTGGAGTGTGTGTGATTTGTGGCAACTGACAAGTTGTGTCGCGACTGGCGAGATCACCTAACGTGTGCGCCCAATCAAGTTCAATTTCTACGCGAGTGCTAGCTGCAGCAACAGCAGCAACAGGCCAATGCACTCTAGCACACTGATAGCGGCATAATGGCCGATAGGATTGGATAGAAGATAATAGCCACACAGAGAAAGATACAGAGTTGGTTCAGACTGAAAGGTCTGAGATGAAAGGAGATGGCTGCAGCCAGCACGTACCTTTCCATCAAATGGAGAGACGATTGTCTGGGGGACGTCTAAAGACTCTTCGGCTATCTGGTCATTTGGATCGTATGTCTCATAAGGGTGAACCAGTTTGGTGGAAACGGCTAGAATGAAAAGGGGAAAAGGAAAATTAAACAATTGATACATGTGCAAAAGGTGAGCTGATGTAGTTAACATACCAAGAAGGGTTAGCAGTACAATAAATGGTAATGGCTGCAGTAGAGGAAGGGGCGCTACTGATAGAGACATTGTAGTCATCGGTGGGAACTGTGGACATAGTCCACTCGGACTGGAGTTTGCAACTTTTTTACGTTTAAGATCTGTTTTGTTGTTTAAAACAGTTCGGTGCAGCACTACGAATATTGATAAACTACAACTGCTTGACGCAGCGGCTCTTTTGCCGTACAACTCTGTTCATTCGGCGATTTCAGAACCAAATTTTGTTGAGGTAAAAAGTTGAGTAACAATGTAGGGAAAGAAACTTGATCAAAAACGAGAAATTGAATAAGGTGACAGTTGAGAAGGAAAAATTGTCAATTGATGAACAGTAGCACAGATTCTAGGCGGCTGCTTGAGCACCACACAAACAGATAGAATGGAATGGATCAGCAGTGGATCACCATCATCATCAGAAAACATCAGTTAAAAACAAAACGAGTGAACAGAAGGACAGGTGACAGCACCGGGCGCCAAGCAGAGACAGAGTGAAGACGGGTAGAAAGAGCATGAGAGGCAAATCACGCGATCCCTTGCCGAAAAAAATGTCAAATCGCAAGTGTCGGTGCAGCAGAGCTGATCTAAATAGATCGACGACGACGACTAAGACGAGAGCAAAGTGACTACTGCGAGCACTGCAGCTGGCGGGTGTCTTCGAACTGAATCGACGACACACTGGTGGGCACTCCAGCACGGCGGTGACATCGAGATTCACCAGCAAAAGCGGCAGAAAGAGGTGAAAGAGTAGCCAGTAGTGGTAGTAGCTATTGGCTCCTCAGTGTCGTCTTCGTCGTCGTCCTCGGACTGTAGTGCAGTGCTGTTCGGCCGAGCGGAACCAGAGGACCAACCATGAAATTGACTTTAATTATCGCACACTCCGGCGAACGGTCCCGTAGGCGCAGAAGGGAGCAGAAGTGCAGTGCAGGAGTGCTGCTGGTGCAAGTGCTGAAGGTGGCTGAAGATGATCACAGCGATGCCTGAAGAAGCTGAAGAAGTCCACCATCACCACCATCAGCTCTACCACAGCACCATCAGCACACCGTTCCGTCCTCCCCCTTCTCTTCCCGCCTGCTCGTAAAACAATACATATTTTCGGCCACCATCAATCGTCGGTGAATTGATCTGTGGCCTAGAAAGGAGAGAGGGAGAGAGAGGAAGAGAAGTGGACTACTGTGCCCCCGACGACTGTTCGGTTCCCATTTGCACCCCGTGTCACACTGATTAATATGCAAACACTGGTGGGACTGTGTCAATGTAAATACCTCGGCAGATTGGCCTCATCGCTCATTTCACGCTTCGACAGACGCGCCATCATCGTTTGCTTTCTCACTGGCCCGAGATGTCAATCAGATCAAATGAATGAGAGAACAAGTGGTGATTGATCAGATACTGCTACTAAATTGACATACTTTTGTATTACGTACCGTTTTGTCCGGGCAATTGAAGACAGCATGTTTGTTGCTTATTACTTTCACGCAATTAGCGGGTATTGCAAACCTCTAACCGAGGTGGATGTCTCTATTGGCTGATTTTAAAGTAAATGGGTAAAGTAATTTAAATAAAAAAAGTCAGCTAACTTACAGTCATTAGAAGATTCTGGTTTTGCAAAAACGACTTTAAATCTCCTAATCCATGATCGATGGTCACAAATTGTGAATTTCACATTCACCGTTGGCAATCTGCCGAAAGGATTTGCCGGGGAAACTTGCCGTCTGTCCGGGTCACGTGACTCGTCAGCTGTGTTTATTTGTTTGCCGGCGCCAAGTATTTATTTTTTCCTTTTACCTTAGACCATGTTTCCTTTGTCTTTGCTAGGTCGTGGTCTCACTACCAGACCGTCGTTGCTTCGTCAATGTCTCCGTTGCAATGTCACCTCTCCGGTCATCAGTAAAATCAATGAGACATTTGCCCATTCTGCAAGAGTCAACGTTTGTGGCCGCTTTGCCCAGCACAATGTCCTTTTCCGGCCGTGGTTTCTGCGGTACATTCCCAAAGGTGGCTACCCAATTGACATCAACTACATTGACACCAAGCCGGAAGCGAACAACGATGACGAGTCCATCAAGACGATAGTCATTCTTCACGGGACGCCTGGAAGCTACTACGACTACTTCAAGATGCTCGTCACATTCGGCGACATGTACCGCATAATTATACCCAACTTTCCCGATTTTTCGCAGACACTGAAAACCGGCTGCTTTTGGCACTCGGCTGAAGAAAAGTCCGAGTTTGTAGTAGACTTTTTGAAGCACCTCAATGTGAGCAAAGTCGACTGTCTCATTTCGCACTCGATGGCAGCGTACACCACCTCGTACTTGTGGATCTACGCCAACTGGGACACGTACTTCAAACTGGGCTCCATCTGTCTGCTCAGTCCAGTGGGCATGTACAAGCTAAGTCGACGGGAGCGACTGCGACTCGGGCTAATTGCCAACATGTGCCGCTCTTCGGCTCTCCGGCAGCTGATCGGCCGACAGGTGATGTCCTCCTCCAAGCTGCTGAACAAGAAGAAGGCCAAAAAGTCCTCAATTCTCTCCAACTTTGACGTGGCCGCGTGGAAGGCGCTCACGCTGAATCTGTCCAACTACGAGAATTACCACCTGCGGCTGAAGGTGCTGGCAGACAGTCAAATTCCTACCCTGTTCACCTTCAGCTCGAACGACCAGCAGTACACGCCAAACGTGTTCTACGACCAGCTGTATGAGCTGGAGGCATCGGCGAACGACTTTGACATCTACGAGCAGTACGATAATGAGCTCATCCAGTCATCAACGAACCAGAACTGGCTCAAGGTGGTCGACTTTCGCAGTGCCGGTCAGTATCTCTTCAACACGCACCCGGACGTTATCCACTCCTACATCGCCGAGCTAATTGACAGGTCAAGGATGACGCCGAAACCAAAGTTGATTGAGCAGCAAGAAGCTACGGGGTAGCATTTTTAGATGTCAATTTACAAAAAATGTACAAAGTAAAGAACAAACGCCAATGATTTAGGAATACTTCCTTTCGCTCAATCTCCTTATCTTCAAATAGAAGTACTAAAAGTACAAAGGTGATGGAAGTGACATAAAACATAAATTGATTAGATAAGAAGTGGCACTGTATCGCATTTCTGAAAATAACTCATCACTGGCTATCAGCAATTATGCCGGTAAGAACTAGTGCAACTACATTACATCAACAAATGTCTGTACTGGTGCACTTTTATTGCCGCAAATGTAACTGCTGTAAACTCGTAATAATGCGTATTTATTTTAGATTCCACTGATGATAACCCACCGCCTACAAGAAATCCTTACTGAGAAAATCTGTCCTTTCCAAGCGAGTTCAAAATACAGAGATGGTTCAGATCACGAAAGTGCTCATTATAGTCCAGTGAGCAGCCGACGACGAACTTGTTGGGAATGTTAAAGCCAGCGTACTCGGGCACGTATCCATTGCTCAGTGGAGTGCGCTTCACAAAGAGGCTCGTCACGCGAATGGACTTGGGTCCAAACTGCTTCAGCAGATTCAGCAGCTTCACCATCGTTCGGCCAGTGTCGATGATGTCCTCGACGATTAGCACGTTCTGTGGGGCAAGCAAGGATTCAGTCACGTGATTAACCGCAATGAACAAATCAACAAACAAGACATACCTTTCCCCGAAGCGACTCGAGACTTTCAATGCCAATCACCTGAATGTTCGAAGTGGACTGCTCATTTTCGTAGCTTTTCAGGCGGATGAACTCAACCCTGATCTGCTGCGCCTCGTCGGCCACCTCCTCTGACAGATCCATCACTCGGTATCGGTAGAGACGGCGAATCTTCTCTAGCAAGTCATTGAAAAACAGATAGCCGCCCTTAAGGACGCACAGAGCTGTGAAGGGCTCATTAGCGAGGTCGACGGCAATGTCGCAGGCCATTCGCTCGATTCTGTTGACAAGAGATAAAAAGAAAAGTTAGTCTCGTTTCAGTAAACGCAACCACCACTGCACTGACCTGTCCTGGACGAATCCACCCGGGATGAGGACATACTGGAGGAATTTGGTCAGGTTGGGAGCGATGCAAAAAGACTCCAGCGGATGTCCCTCAAAATCGTCCGGAATCTTCGGAAAAGGAGAAGAGGATTAGTCTTGTTTTGACGGAAGGACAAACAATCAGCCATTTATCATCACTCGGCACTTACCACAATGGCCGGACTGTTTTTGTTTTTATGCGAGTTGCCGTTCATGTTGCCAGGGGAGATTGATTGATTTGTGAAAGCAGCTGCTGGAATGGGGACGAGAACTAGGAACTTGGTCAACCCAACGTGAGGAAGACTGAGAAGACTGAAGATTTATTGCAGCAGTGTCCAGCGGAGTGCAGAGAACGTGTGCAACGTGCGAGACGACGAGGATGATAATGATGATGAGGTGCGCTGAGCAAGTGCTGCACTGCTCACTGTGCCTCCAGAGGTTTAAATACCACCGGACGACAGTTGAAGGGATAGAAGGAGGAAGAAAAAGAAGAAGAAAACAATGTGTGTACCTCGAATGGCCACTTCATGTGAGCACACACACGGACACATTATCTTTCACTGCTTTGCACAGTGGTGCTAGTTAGTTATCAGCCACGCATGCCGCTCTTGCAGCTGTCGGTGGGATTTCGAAATCACAGTGTGCAGCAAGCATGGAGTAGCAGCAGCAAACACTGAACAGTGTTGGTGCACTGGTGCTGGTGCTACATTGTAACAGCACCAGAGCTGCTTGCGTAATCATCAGTTGACAACTGAGAAAGCAAACATTGCCGGCTGGTAATGAAAGGATAAACCAGCGGCACAGAATTGCTGGGTACACTTGCCATCGTATCATATCAGCAGACAAAACACTGGCACCGGTTAATTGCTGTCCGGCAGGTGTAGAGGTCTAAGTTTATGGGCAATGAAAATAGGCCATTGACTGCCGGTGGCACTTTCTGGTCAGCACCGGTGCTACCTACTATTATTATGACTGCTCATCTCAGTCTCATGAACTCAGTCACTGGTGGCACTCATGGGACGGCAGGAATTGTAATTTGCTTGGAGATTAGATAGTGCTGATGATAGTAGCACAAATCAGTCATACATGATGTGTTCAGTGTGCGCATCAGTCGTTCGCATGTGTGCACGACAAAAGTTCCGCAAAGGAATTAGCTAAGAACGTGCAATATAACCCAACAAAAGTGGATAACGGTTTTGTTTACGATACACCAGATTAGACTGCACTTTTTAGCTAACTACTGCTGCTGATGATGATGATGATGGCGGTGGTTGACAACAAGTGGTACCAGTGTGTTTTGACAGCCTAGGCTAAATCAGAACCGCCCGCTGTTGTCGAGGGAAGTGAGTGAATTTGAAGCTGATTTTCAGCAAACAGCTTAATGGTCTGACCGTTGTTTGAACAGTCGTTTGAACTGCATCCTCACTGTGCCGTCTGCTGCTATCTGGTGCCTGCCTCGAGATGAGAGTCTCAACTAGTCAAATAGTCAGGAGAAATGTATACTTTACGATCAACACCAACTTGTCAGTCGGTTGACAGTGTCACTGTAGAGACACCTTATCAACTGATCCGTGGTCCAAACGGTTTTAACGGCCAACCTGTTCTCAACCTTGAACCAGCCTGAATGGACGCTGAAATAAAAATATTCCCACAAAAGGTAAATAAAAACACTTTTGAATTGTCAATTCGTGTTTGTTTAGCTGTCAAAAGGCTGCCGCTTTAGCTGACACAGCAAGAAATAATTTCTATCTTTCTCTCTTTTGCTCAGAAATCAGATATCAGCACCAGAGCTTTTGATGCACAAGTCGTACAATTCGATAAGACTTGGCACGAGTGAATGAGTGAGCTATATCGAGCCGACGATAAACTGATAAACAACAAATGGCCTCTACGAGAAGGAGAAGGAGTGTGTCCGTAACGAGGCATAATTGAAACTGATTGAATGCTAAATAATTGACACTGAAAACGAATGAAAAGGAGAAGAAGAGCAGTGCTATCTTCCCTATGGCCAGGCTGCCTGCTGAACAAAATAATAAATGGCTGTCAGCCACTAGAGTAGTATCCGGTGGCGAGTTATATAGCGGCGATTGAAGGTTAAGCATTCCCGGGCTGGCCACATGCTGCTGCTGATGCTGGTGCAGATGATGGTAGTGCAGTCGCTGAACAGAGCACACTGTAACTTGAGAGAGTGAGAGTGGTGCCAGCTTGCCACTGCTTGGATAGACGCATTGCCATCGCCACCAGCACAACCACCGTTGTCGTCGTCTCGTTTTCTTTTTCTCCTCCTCGATGCTGTCTTGCCCAGCCGTATCACTGGCTGCTGGCTATTCCAACCAGTGCTTTCCACCAGCATCAGCNAGCTTGCCACTGCTTGGATAGACGCATTGCCATCGCCACCAGCACAACCACCGTTGTCGTCGTCTCGTTTTCTTTTTCTCCTCCTCGATGCTGTCTTGCCCAGCCGTATCACTGGCTGCTGGCTATTCCAACCAGTGCTTTCCACCAGCATCAGCAGCAGCACCTCACATCGCCCCACTCTCTTCCTTATCGCCAGACAGCTGCAGTGTTTTCCACTGGCTGACTGTCTGCCTGAGCACTGCAGCAGCACTACTCTACCTACCCATCAACCGATAGGTGCCAGAGCGAAGTTGACTGCCACTTACTGAGGAGACACTTACACGACTTCAACAGCAACCAGCCATCCTATTGTGTCACATTCCCAGCGTGGATTGACACTGACAACAGCAGCAGGTGAAACAGTCATCTTGTGCCAATCAAAGAAGAAGAAGGTCCCCCTCCCAAAAGCTAACTGTCAACTGTCATCATCAGCTTCTTTCAAGCTCAAAAATGCTGAACCTAGCTTTGAAACGCGCTGCCAAGCTGCAGGCTGCTGTTGGTAGGCAGGTGCTTCTGCCAACAACTGCCACTGCCACCACTTTATCAGCTCGCTCAGCCTCGTCATCGTCGTACCAGGAGCCAAAGGAGCCCAAGATTGTCACTGCCAGTGTTCCCGGACCAAAGTCGAACAAGCTGCGCGAAGAGCTCGGCCATGTGCAAAACTCCGGCGCCATTCAAATGTTCGTCGACTACGACCGCTCGGTGGGCAACTACCTGGTGGACGTCGATGGGAACACCTTCCTCGACATCTACAGTCAGATCTCCTCCATTCCGCTGGGCTACAACCATCCGGCGCTGTTGGCGGCACTGCGCGACCCGAAGAACGCCTCCGCCTTTATCAACCGACCGGCGCTGGGAATACTGCCACCGGAGGACTTTAACCAGAAGATCAAGTCCGCCCTGCTCTCTGTCGCTCCAAAGGGGCTCACCGAAGTGCAGACGATGGCCTGTGGAAGTTGCTCAGTGGAGAATGCTCTCAAGGGTAATAAGAGCATGATGACAATCGCGGTATCATTTAAT